TACTAGGTATTCACTAAATATATTTTAAATGCATGTAAATGCAGACTCAAAGCATTCACTCCAAGATCCAAGTCTCCTCATGCTTTAAAACAAATCATCTGAAACTAGATTAGGTTACACATTCTTTGAGTTGGGAGTATCTCTAGATGCTACAGAAAGTTATAATGTTATCGCTCTTTAGCCTTCATCTACCTAACTTGTGCCAGGTCTTGGGTGATCCATTTTTTCATCACCCTTTCCAGGTATACTTTCATGAATCCACCCCACCACTATCATCAACATAATTTGGTGCAGATATCCTACTTCTGTGTTTACATAACACCTGATATTTATCTTCACACAGTATTTTTTTCACATTTAATTAATTTATTGTGTAAATATTAAACTGTAAGCAATCTGAGCTCAGTTGCTGTGTCTTAGTCACGTTGTGTCCCTTGCACTTAGCATAGTATCTCGTTTGTAGCAAATATCAATTCATGGTTTTCCATGAATAAATGAATAATATACCTCTTAGAATATACATTTTTGGGTCTAAATATGTTTTATTTTCCACACTCAGGCCTTTATCTTGTCTGTCAGCTCCTTAGAAAATATCTAACCATGGCTTTCTGGAGTCAGTGATTTAAATTGCATACTCTTCTCAAACCAATTTCTGTCAGAGTTAAATTGTTTCCTTTCGCACAAGAAAGAGAACACTTCAGTGCAAAAATATTTTAAGCCTCAAAACAGTTTTAATGTTTTTGAAATGTGAAATATCATTGAATTTGATGAAAGACAGGATAACCATTACCATTAACAGTCTTACTCTAATTAGCTATTAATTATATTTGCTGTTTTATACTATATGAAAGAATCACAGCTAGTTCATAATCATTTTATTTCATTTTCATTCAAAACTTGAATCTTGTAAGAATCATTAAAATGCCTTCTTAATTTCTTTGCCAATTGTAGACATCATGACTCATATTCAAAATTCACTGCTTTGTTTATGAAATTTAGATTCCACCGAGATTGTTTACCTATCTGAAACTTCCAGTTCAGTGAAGTACCACTCTCAGCTGGAATTTATCTCTGTCCTCATCTTCCCTTGACTTATCTAAGTGTACTTTCAAAGATATTTATGCAGCATACACTATGTAAGACATGGTGCTAGCCACTTTGGCATGTACAAAGGTGAAACAAGTTGATATCAAGATGAACTAGACTCCCACCTTCGAAGACCTCATGATCTAGAAAAATAAGATACGGGGCACTTGGGTGGCTCAGTTGGTTAAGGGTCTGCCTTCAGCTCAGGTCATGATCCCAGGGTCCTGGAATCGAGACCTGTATCAGGCTCTCTGCTCAGGGAGAAGCCTGCTTCTCCCTCTTCCGCTGCTGCTCCCCCTGCTTGTGCTCTCTCTCTGTGTCAAAAAAATAAATGAAATATTTTTTAAAAAAAGAAAAATAAGAAATAGATTACTATGTAAGTGTGCCTCTGTATCTGTGTATACAAATATTCAGAATGGCCAGCAGTTATTAGCTCTTACTATGTGCCAAACACAGTTTTACACTTTTACAAGTGATTCGTTTCATTAATTCTAAGGTTACTGATTATAAGACATGTCATTATTGTACCACAAAGGAAGATATACTCCTTAAAAATTATAGCCTGTTTTTTTTTTTTGAAGATTTTATTTGTTTATTTAGAGAGAGAGAGAAAGCAAGTGAGCAGGGACAGGGGCAGAAGAGAGAGAATCTCAAGCAGACTCTGTGCTGAGCACAGAGCCTGACTTTGGGCTTGATCTCACAACCCTGAGACCATGACCTGAGCCAAAACCAAAATTTGGACACAACCACCTGAGCCACCCAGGAACTCCCAAAATTATAACTTGCTCTTGATTATAAGATTCATTACAAATATCAAAGATGTTAATATGTGAAAAAATTCAATACTTAAAACTAATGAAATATAGTAACTCATTTAATCATCTCAACAACCCTTGAGTTAGGCAATGTTATTTTTCCCATTTTTACAAATGAGGAAATTCATAGAGTTCAGAGGCATTAGGTAACTTGCCCAAGATCACACAGCTAGTAACTAGATGCATGAGAATTGAACCCACATCAAGCTGATTCCAAACACCATGCTCTTAGCCTCTATACCACAGGAGTCTTAGATTCTCCATGTAATAGGGTGTTCAGGAGTTTCCAAAGCTTTTGTTCCTGATATAGCTTCATTTAAAATTGGAGAAGAATTGGGGCACCTGGGTGGCTCAGTCAGTTAAGTGTCTGCCTTGGGCTCAGGTCATGATCTCAGGGTCCTGGAATCAAGTCCTGTGTCAGGCTCCCTGCTCAGAATCTATTTGTCCCTCTCCCTATGCCTTCCCCCCAACTCATGCTTGCACTCTCTCTCTCTCAAATAAGTAAAGTTTTTAAAAAAATAAAATAAAATTGGAGAAGAATATAGGGATCTCTATCAATTCTTTTTCTTTAATTTCATTTTTTCCAAGTTTGTATTTAAATTCCAGTTAGTTAACATACAATGTAAATTAGTTTCAGGTATAGAATTTAGTGATTTATCACTTACATACAACACCCAGTACTCATCACAACAAGTGCCTTCCTTAATACCCATCACCCATTTAACCCATCCTTCCACCCACCTCCTTTCCAGTAACCATCAGTTTGTTCTCTATAGTTAAGAGTCTATTTCTTGGTTTCCCTCTCTCTTTTATTTTCCCCCACTATGTCCATTTGTTTTGTTTCTTAAGTTCCACATATTAGTGAAATCATATGGTATTTATCTCTCTCTGACTGACTTATTTAACTTAACACAATAGTCTCTAGCTCCATCCACGTCATTTACAAATGGCAGGATTTCATTCTTTTTGATGGCTGAGTAATATTCCATTGTGTATATATACTACATCTTCTTTATCCATTCTTCAGTCAAAGGACATTGGGTTCTTTTCATAATTTGGCTACTGTTAATAATACTGCTACAAACATCAGGTTGCATATATCCCTTCAAATTAGTATTTTTATATCATTTGGGTAAATACTTAGTAGTGGAATTGCTGGATCCTAGGGTAGTTCTATTTTTAACATTTTGAGGAACCGCCATACTGTTTTCCAGAGTGGCTACACAGTTGGCATTCCCAGCAATAGTGCAAGAGGGTTATTCTTTCTCCACACACTTGCCAACACCTGTTGTTTCCTGTGTTAGCCATTCTGACTGGTATGAGGTGATATTTCATTGTAGTTTTGATTTATATTTCCCTGATGATTAGTGATGTTGGTCATCTTTTCATGTGTCTGTTAGCGATCTGTATGTCTTCTTTGGAAAAATGTCTATCCATGTCTTCTGCCCATTTTTTAACTAGATCATTTAGTTTTTGGGTGTTGAGTTTTATAAGTACTAACCCTTTATCAAACAATGTAATTTGCAAATATCTTCTCCCATTCTGGAAGTTGCCTTTAGTTTTGTTGATAGTTTTGTGTAGAAAGCTTTTTATTTTGATAAATCTCAATAGTTTATTTTTGCTTTTGTTTCCCTTGCCTCAAGAGACATATCTAATGAGAAGTTGCTATGGCTGATGTCAAAGAGGTTATTGCCTGTGTTCTCCTCTAGGATTCTAATGGTTTTCTGTCTCACATTTAGATCTTTCATCCATTTTGAATTTACTTTTGGGTATGATGTAAGAAAGTTGTCCAGTTTCATTTTTTTGCATGTTGCTGTCCAGTTTTCCCAACACCATTTGTTTAAGAGACTTTTTCCATTATAGAAAACCCAAAAGACACCACCAAAAAATCTGTCAAACTGATACACAAATTCAGAAAAGTCGCAGGATTCAAAATCAATGTACAGAAATCTGTTGAATTTCTATGCACCAATCATGAAGCAGTAGAAAGAGAAATCAAAGAATTAATCCCATTTACAGCTGCACCAAAAACCATTAAGAAACCTAGGAGTAAACCTAACCAAAGAGGTAAAGGATTTCTACTCTGAAGATGTAAAACACTGATGAAAGAAATTGAAGATGACACAAAGAAATGGAAAAATATTCTATGTTCATGGATTGGAAAAACAAATATTGTTAAAATGTCTATACTACCCAGAGCAATCTACACATTTCATGCAATCCCTATCAAAATACCAAGAGCATTTTTCACAGAGCTAGAACAAACAATCCTAAAATTTGTATGGAAGCACAAAAGACCCTGAGTAGCCAAAGCAACCTTGAAAAAGAAAAGCAAAGGTGGAGGCATCACAATCTGGACCTCAAGTTATATTGCAAAGCTGTAGTCATCAAAACAGTATGCTACTGGCACAAAAGCTGACATAAATCAATGGAACAGAATAAAAAACCCAGAAATGAACCATGTTGGATTTGAGAACTATTGCTTTAACATTTGACTCTTCCCCACGTAGTACTTTGGACTGATGACAGAAATGAACCAATCACTAGTTATTTTTTCTTTTTTTTAACCAAATTTCAAAAGTTAAATATTTCATTTGCTAGGTATTTGTGAAGCAGTGTGGAGGGACATAAAAGAAATGTGAGCCCATGTATTCAGTTGTAGTGCAGTTGTTGGATGTTATATTAAAAATTGTGAAACACGATCAAATGGAAGTACTACATGGTTGCAGAGAAAGAGAATTGAGATTATCTTGGTAGCTGTGGGAATAGAAAGAAAGGGACAAGTCCAGAAAGTATTTGAAAGAAAGAAATCAGTAGGATCAAGGGCAAATTTAACATTAATAGTAAACAGAAGGGGAAAAAATAGAATACCTTGCGTTTTGAACTTGGATAGCCGAGAATAGTGAAGCATGAACATGGAGATGGAATGTGAAGCAGTCTGAAAAGAATCGGGAGTATAACTGTGAGAGGTGAGACTTCTGCAGCTGGCCCTTTTATTACCCCATTTATAAAGATGGTGAATTGAATTTTGTTTCTGAGTTTATGCATGAAAGGATTTAATCAGATTGAGATCTAATTAATCATTATTTTCTTTTACAGCAATTGTTCAACTGTCAAGCTCTAAGAAAACTAAGTATTCCTGATAATGATCTTTCAAATCTGCCAACCACTATTGCTAGTTTAGTTAATCTTAAAGAACTCGACATCAGTAAAAATGGTAAGATTCTCATCTTATCTCTAAATAACTTGAACTTTTAATTAAAAATATGCTTTGGTTTCTCTTAGCAAATGATATACAAGTGATATAACACTTTTTACTTGATTTTACTGTAACTCGAAGTTAATTTTGTTGAAAAGCTCATCTTAAACTATAAATCTTTTGTAATGGTGACCTATTGGACAATTCCCTCCTGATATTGGGAACAAAATAATTATACCCTCTATCATCAATTTTGTTCAACATTATACTTGACAATATAGGCTGTGAAAAAGGCAAGAAGAAAAAAGATGTAAGAACTTGAAAGGAAGAAATGGTTCTCATTTTTCACAGAAAATTTTAATTTATAGATAAACTTTTAATATATGAATAAATTTACAAGGTAGTTAGCTATAAGATAATATGGAAAATCAATTGCATTTCCATTTATCAGAAAAAAAGGAGTTTACAAAAATAAAGTTTGAAAATATTATGCTACTTAAAATAAAATCAGAAATATCAATTATCCAAGAATTAATGTATCAATAGAGTACAAGTCCTCAAAATAGAAACCTACAAAGCATCATATAGATATTTTTGAGATTCAGAATATTAGTTACCCAGGAAAGGTAGGAGCAAATTATCCTGGGAAGGAGTTGAAAGGGATTCTCAGTTGCTAGTCATGTTTAATTTTCTGGCTTAGGTAGTTGTTACCTATGTTTGTTGCAAAATTCTAGTCTGCTTTTCTTTTTATTTTGTGATATGGATATCACAAAATAAATTATACAGTATCCATTAAGATACATATTTATAGCTTGTGTGTATTTTTCTATGCATGTGAAACATCAATAAAACATTTATTAAAAAGAAATTAAGAAGTAACAATAAATTTTATTAAGACCAAAAAAAAACTATAAATCAAAGTGAAAACCTCTCTCCCCTCCACTTAATTAAAGTCTCTGACTCACTCAGGCCTTTTTTCCCTCTCTGTATTCAGATATTTGATTTAATCTTTTATAGAACATTTTACTACCTTTACACTGTTTATTTTCCTCATAATCAGAGTAAAATTTTTTCCAGTGTAGTCAATGAGGCCTACCTGTTCACCCTATTTAGAATTGAACTCTCAATTTCCCTTGTTCTGCTCTATTTTCCCCATAGCACTCACCATCTTCTCAGTATTGTAGAATTTACTTATTTATTATGGTTATTGCCTATCTTTTCCTGCCTCAGAATGTAAATTTTGTTATTAGACGGGGGGGATTTTTCTGTTTTGGTCACTGATATATCTATCTCAAATGTCTTGAGCAGTAGCTGGAAAATAATAAGTGCTCAGTAGTATTTGTTATATTTTTGGCCAAACTTACATGTTTGGTGATGTTGTTAAATGCTGGTGCTGATGTTAATATTCTTGCTGATGACATATTCCTTCAAATGTTTGTGGGAGTCTCCCATGTCCTCAGATATTCATAAATCTTGATTTCCTTCCATATGAATATGTCTCCTCATTTTATCAGAATAAAGCAAGGATTAATCAAATAAGTTTATGTCTAGGCACTATGAAGATATAAAACATAACCCCTCCATCATTAAGCAAGTTGGTTAAACTTTGTGTGTGTGTGTGTATGCATGTGTGTGTTGCTTTGGTTTTTTCAGGCAATATGTTTGGTGCCAAAGGAACAGGCATGAACAAAACACGTCTCTGCCCTCATGAAACGTACATTCTAGTGGATGCATTAGACAGTAAATAAGTAATTATGGATGATTAAATAAACAATTAGGGTGAAGATACATTGGATGTGAATGGGCACATACAGTAGTGGAATAAATCCATTTGGTGTGGTTAGGGAAATTTGCCCTAAGAAATGATACCTAAGCCCAGACAGGACAAATAGAGGTTGTTATTCAATGGGTATAAAATTTCATTTATGCCGGATGAATAAGTTATAGAGATCCATTTTATAACATGATGCCTATACTTAACAATACAATATTGTGCAATTCAAAATTTGTTAAGAGGGCAAATTTCATGTTAAATGTTCTTATCACAAAAAAAACAAATAGTTGGGGGACAGAAGGAAACCCTAGGTGGTTCTGGATATGTCTATTATCTTATTTGTGATGATGGTATCATTGGTATTTGCATATATCCAAAGTCATCAAGTTGTATACATTAAATATATGTCGTTCTTTGTGTCTCAATTATACCTCAGTACTATTTTGTTATTAGGGAATAGTTCAATGAAGCCTATGGCTTGAGGAAGTCCATGAGGCACAGTAACATCTGAATAAAGGAGAACATTTCATCTGAAGAAAACAATAGAGTGCAAACAGGGACACCCACATCTTTCTACACCAACCTGACTTACCACATAGAGGGTTTTCAGGAAGACAATTATAAAAGGACCATGTGTTGACTTAGAGAGAATGGCAGCTAGATTTAGGCCCACTGAAAGATGACATTGTCTACCTTTATTCTTTTAAGAATAGATTTATAGGTCACATATTTGTGTGGGTAGATATTTCTGTACTTATATTGCTTATATACTTAAATACATTCACACATCAATTTCAAATTACAATTCTGAGAGATATCATATGGCCCAAAATAACACATCCCTTGGCCTTCAGGCAGGTTTAGCTGAGTAGTCTGAGTAAATAAATATCTATTTCTTTCAAGAGGATTAGAAAAAAAATCATCCCCAAATATAAACACAAAACTCCTAAGAAACATGTTATTTTATAATAATCTCCTAGTTGCCCTCGTACATCAAGAAGTTTTTGTTGCCAGGAAGTGAATTGCAAGTTAGACTTCTTTGATTCAGAAAGAAGTGTGTGAGCATCCTTAGAAGTCCTTGTGAATATTGTTTAGGAAGTTTTTGCTGTGCTTATGGTCTCTATATTCTGGAAATATTTATGCAAAAATACATGCTAGACATAGTGAAGCAATCTGCAAAATTAGTATAGTACAAAAGGTTTGATGAACATGATGATATATCAGCCATTGATGGAAGTTATGCGAAAAGTAAAAGATTTTGACATATCAGTCCTTTAACAAAATTATACCTACAAAAGCTGTCCCTGAATTCTATGGCAGAGACCTAGTCAGTTACTTAAAGAACATTATATATCCTTTGGGAATCTGTCAAGGGAAGAAAGAGTAGATAGGAAAAAATAACTGCAGTGTCAGCATCACAATTGAAAAGGTTGGAATAGTCCTGGTGGAGGAGTCAAGGTGTGAGAGAATGTAATCTGTATTGGCATTTGGATACCGACAGTAGAATGTTTGATTTTGAGGCAGGGACTCACTCAAGTACTAGTCAATCTAGGGAAAAATTTGCTTGAAATATCCTTGAATTTGATACGTGACCTTTTATGATGAAACTAATTCACTTGGAGGCTGAGGTTAAATCTGATCTTGATGGTCCATGTCGCCCCAAATCTTTACTTTTCATATCCATTTCTGCCACCTGACATCCTGATTCACCATTTTCCCTCCATAATTCAAAAATACTCTTTTATATTAAAAGCTTTTTATTTAAGTGAACTATTGTGTACCGAAAAGATATCCACACAATTTGTATGAATAGCTTTCATCTAACTCTCTAACCACAGCTCTAACCAACTCATATCCCCTTCCATTTCATTCTCAGGTAATGCCAAATTGTTCCCAAATGCATCAAGCTGGTTACTTGTGACACAAGGAACAATACTATTTTCTCTGCCCAAAATATTCCTTCCTCCTCACTGCTGTACCTCCTCAACCAGAGTCCTCGGCACCTTTAAAAGACATTTCAGATATCATTTATTCTGAGAAATATTCCTTACCCCTTTTACACAAAGAGAATTGTTTAATCTATGAATATGTTATTAACCTTTATTTAGGTCTAATTTTGTATCTTCCAATAAGGTTTTGTGATTTCCTTCAAGAGACACTTGAACACATTTTATTAAATTTATTTCTAAGCAGTTTATTCGTTTTATATTGTGTTCATTTTTTAAGTACTTTTTTAAAATTTTAGTTGATGTTATATGGAAACATTACTAATTTTGATATCTTGATCTTATATTCAGCCATGGTGCTGAATAATGACCACTAGATTCTTTTGAATTTCTATGTATAAAGTTATATTTTCTGCATATGACAGTTTTTTTCCCATCCTTATACCTTCATATCTTTTATGTCATATATCTTTTAAGTTATACTTTCCTAGGAAATCACCTATTCCATCATTTAGATATTAAATTTTATTGTCACGCATTGCTCATAGGCTTCTCTTATGCATTTTATAGATATGTGCCATATCTGTGCCTATTTCTTCCTTTCTATTTCTGATGTTGTTTACTCATGCCATCTGTTTTTTCTTTTTCTATCATCCATCCTGCCAGAAGTTTTTCTACTTTCCTAATCTTTCTAATAAAGCTTGTTAGGCTCTCTATTAGTTTGTTTATCTTCCATCGTTTTTACTTTTTACTTCCTACTGCAGCAATTTTTATTATGTTCCTTCTCCTTTCTTAGGGTTTACTCAGTTGCTTTTAGTATTCTAATATATTTGGGGCTTTTTCAATCATCACCTTATTTTTATTGAACTATATTGCAGACTACATGGTCTGGATGCTACTGATATCTCATTATTTATTGACTTTCACGTTGTGGCCAAGTATATTGTCAATTTTTAAAATATTCCCTTTTGCTTCTAATAAAAAATAAAAATACACATCCTCTGCTTATTGAGTACACACTAAGGATCCACTAATACTACCCAATATACAATTACCTAAGATATATAGGTACATAGAGAGAAAGAGACAGAGAGAGATGAGAGACAATAAAGAAACATTCATGCTGCATGTAAATCACCCTTCCTCTCTTAAGTCTTTCTGTTACCAAATTTACATGCAGCAACCCATGGGTAAATGTATCACTTTCCATGCCAATGGATCTTTTATCATTTATTCCTCAGATCTTAATTCAATAGTAAAATAAGAATCTTATGTCTGTCAGAGACAAATGCATTTTA